TTTAGCCATGGAAGTTGTACATTTATATATCTTAGATTAGTTTCCAGGTCTTGTCTGGGCTGTGCATGACACTGACAATGCAGCAGGTAGTGCTCAATCGTATCTACAGTGTTGCATTTAGCACTCTGATCAGAGTCGCTCATGTTGAATCTTTGTAGATAGCTTCTGACACCGGCGTGTCCACCAATGCTGAGTCGGGCGGCAGCACACTCCAGTCTGCAGGACTTTAGGCAAAGCAAGGGTCGCAGTCTGGGTTCATCCATGATGTCGCTCAAAAAGGTTCCCTTCTGGGAGCGAGCAACAGATGTCTTCCATGTTCTGGTGCAGTACTGATGTAGTTTGCTTCTTAGGAAAGTGAGGGACTTTTATAAGCTGAACATGTTTAAGGCTGAGTGCGTGGACAGTGAGATGACCCATGTTGGCTGCCCTGTCTGCCACTTCGTTACTCTTTATACCACATTGCCCTCGCACCCATTGTAGTACTGTAAATGCTTGCCTTTTGTTAATAAACTCTTGAATTTTGAAGACATATTCCCTGTATGAAGGACTGATAATGTTATTGATTGCATGCAATGCTGACTGAGAATCTGTTAGCAACAAGATATTTTATGAGCTGAGTCTTTGGTCCAAGCAGCAGAACTCCAAAGCCTTGTGTATTGCGAAGAGTTCTGATCCAATGACTGTATGGGCAGACTTAAACCCCCATGTAGTGACACTCTGAAGACTTGGTACATAAGAGATTGATACTTGAGTTAGGAAAAGCATTGGTGATACTCGAAGCCTTGATTGACCCTACCTTAACGTATGGTGTGAGAGGCAGGGTTCGTTCGGGTACAGAGTGAGCTTCTTAGCCGAGCCGTCCCTGAGATGCGCTGGCGACGGATACATGAAAGATATCCTCAAGCTTTGTGCTTCTTCCTACACTTATCCTATTACATCGAAAAAATATCTACTCAGCTAAATATAAGGATTCTAATTGTCGTCATCAATACTATATCGATCATACCTATTCCTTGCATCGATCTTATCTCGTTTCTTAGATTGTCATTCAATCCTACCTTACTTCGTATATCCTCCTGTAGTACTACCTTAATTCTCATATCCTTCAATCCTATCTTGCTTTTCGTATATTCCTGCAATTCTAACTGATATATTATATCCTCTAATCCTATTCTGCTTCTCATATCCTCCTGCAGTCCTACTTTAATTCTCATATCCTGCAATGCTACCTTACTTTTTTAATCCTCCTTCAATAATGCCTTCAAAGATCAACTATCCTAACAATTTCTAATGATCTGCTAGTTTGTCCATGTTTGATATATAATCATTTAGCATATTCGAGCACTTTTTAGCGTGCAACATTTATTCTCGACAAACGAAACAATAATCTATAAAGTAGGTAGTTATATAGCGCTATTCAATATCTGCGTTATCACCTATTTATAAACCTGTTAAATATCGATCGAGTAGTGGAGAGACGAAGGGGATTGGAGGGGAGGGTGCGGGGGTTTTGATGGGTGAATGCTAGGTCAGCGATTTAATATTACCTATACATAGATTATGGGAACATTAGTGGAAGAAGTTACACGTTCACGGACGCATATTGACTTCTGTAACAGGGTTTTAAAGATAAGGAGTCTCTCGGCTAGGCGCTTCGCTTACGCTCTGCTCTCCTGCCTTATTCTGCATCGAGTCGCTCTTTTATAAGTTAGGCTCATGATTTTGTAAGTCATTGCTTGCTCGCAACTCAATCATGCTTTTGCTGGTCAAAGTGTGGCTACCGTCGACTATTACTGTATAACGGATCACATTTTGATTTTATAATTGTATTCATCAGACGAAATTTGTGTTTTAATTAAATGAATTGCACGGTCATTGCGATGAGCATCAGCCTGACGAACAGTGCAACATGAAGGCGAGCTGAGCTAGCCAGACCTGTGGGTCCATCCAAAGAGAGATATACACTCAGAAAATAGAGTCAGATTGTCCAAATATAGAAAAGAGTACGAATTAATTTTTACAATCGAGCATCGTAGAAGTGTTCGATGGTCTCTCTCTCTCTCTCGCTCTCCCTCTCTCTCTCTGCGTTTTTCAGCGCTATTCAATATCTGCGTTTTTATTTATTCATAAACCTGTTAAATATCGAGTAGTGGAGAGATGAGGGGGATTGAACGGGAGGGTGCGGGGTTTGGATGGGATAATGTTGAGGGAGCGGTTTAGTATTACCTATACGTGTTAAATGTTCACGGCCGCATATTGACTTATGTAACAGGGTTATAAGATAAGGAATCGAAGCACCTATAAGGATATAGGTGCTTCGCTTACGCTCTGCTTTTCTGCCTTTTGCTGCATCGAGTCGCTCTTTTATAAGTTGGCCTCTGATTTTGTACGTCATTGCTCTCTCGCAACTCACTCGTGCCTTTGCTGGTCGAAGTGTGGCTGCCGTCGATTATTATAACGGATAACATTTCAATTTTATAATTGAAGGCAAAATTTTTCGCCTCATTAAATTTCTTCATCAGGCAAGACTAGTCGATTTTTGTTGCTATCAAATGTTGCTCCGTGGATGCATAAACATGCTTTCAACAACCGTATTGTCACCACGATCTAAATCTTTGCCTTGAATTCTGCGGCCAATGAATGATCAAAACCAATCTTGAAGGAATGACTTCGCTTATATTTTCACTTGTTATAATTGTGTTCTTACACTGATGATGGGCAGTGCGTGTAATGAAATAAACTTTAGCGTCAGTTCAGGCTAACACGGTCAATGCTTTTATTGGTAATGTTGAAAAACTTGCCCGTAATATATAATATTCAACTCAAAGACTTAATCACACCTGAATTGTTCTGAGCCACGTTATTTTCATCACATGAAAGCCGTCATTCATACAGACATCAATTGGTGTACCTGTAAAAGAATTAGGATAGGCGTGCCGAGAACTTGCAGTGTTTTGTGTTTTCACATGTTATTCGTTGTTAAAAGATTGATTCGCGTCCGATTATAAAAGAATATCAGGACTACGTGCTAAGTAAAGGTGACTCGTCGTAGTGGTATTGTTTAATTATCTCGCAATTCAGACGTGTGAAGCTTACCTTGAGCTGGGGTGGAGTCCCCACATGCGCAGGCTCTAAATTGGGGATAGCTGGGGTAGAACCCTCGCATGTGCAGGCGCCGGGTGGGGATGGCTGGGGTAGAACCCTCGCATGTGCAGGCGCTGGGTAGGGATAGCTGGGGTAGAACCCTCGCATGTGCAGGCGCTGGGTGGGGACATCTTTCAGAACAAAATTGCGTGGCTTCGACTAAGCTGGCGTTATTATACCAAGTATTACTTGGAGTAACTTAGTAATCCTGCAATCTCTTGCTCTTCCCTTAGTGAGAATCTCTCCTGTTTTCACTGTTGAATAATAGATATTGTTATTGATAGTTTGATTGTATTGCTTGTGATTAACATATTGACCTTTATAAACTGTATTGCGAGTTGTACTCAAATCAAGCGTTCTATAAAGCGGTCTTCTTTTAACCACACCTCAAAGAAAAACTCTCAGGAGGCGTTCATAAAACCTCAATTAGTCACACTATTTTACCAGCATCATTGCATCATAATTATCTCATACTTGTGAGTTATTAAGTTTTATAACGACTAACTAATATTAAAAAGTCGCAGGGGTGTAGCCTCCATGAAAACCATACTGACTTGGTTGTTGTTGGCTGCTGGCTTCAGTATGAAAGTTGGCTGCTGGCTTACGGGGTCTATGGCTTTAAGCACTTAATTAACTTCATAAGCTACTCAGTAGCACTCTTGAGCACGGGAAAGCCTGTGAAAGAGATGATAATTTCAATGGTGAATGATGACTTCAAGTGAAAGTGATGATGACTTGGATGTTCTTATATCGTTGCCTCAACCTCCCTCCCCCACGCTGTAGCGGGAAACTACTACATCTAAACACTTAGAGGTCTCTGCCAGCGGGCCCTGCGGTTCGTGGAAGGTTGAAACGACTAAGGACGAAGTCAGGAAAATATTTACTAAAGAGATTTGCAGAAATTACTTGAAACGCAAAATACAATGACACTTGAAAGGTACATTTGACGAAAATCGTTATGGACACAACAATGGGTATGAAGAAGTGGCTAGCTACTAGACACAGACTACATCCGACGACAGTTAGTCTAGCACATTTTTCTCGGCAGTCACCTGTCGAGTAGTGCGGCGGCTTCAAATCTAGTACACAAAGCGGGACTAATATCTGGCCCGCTACAATATCATATCATATATCATATCATATCATATCATATCATATCATATCATATCATATCATATCATATCATATCATATCATATCATATCATATCATATCATATCATATCATATCATATCATATCATATCATATCATATCATATCATATCATATCATATCATATCANAGATATTCAATTATTCTTTGAAATATTCCAAAAATATGAATTAAAGTATAATGTTTTCCATGATGGTTACTCCAACAAAATGAAGAGAGAAACGAGTATTTTGAAACGGAAAGAAGACCTTATTAGTCAGGGTTTAGTTGTTCCCGACGCTGTATTTTTAAGGGCTAGAATATGGGGTATAAAAACGACGTACAGACTCGAGTTGTTGAAGGTGATCTCACTATCCATCTTCGCAGACCTCACTCGACGGCTTCTAACGACGCACTGGCGGGCACGAACGACTAGCGAGAAGATAGCGGCACCTATACTCTCCTCGTGTACAGGCTTACTAGCCGGATAGTCACCAAGCGACCGACACTTGCCAGATTTACTAGCCGTCTGCACTATCCCCGTGTACAATCACCTAACCTATAACACTAAAAAGCAGTGGGCACTTCGCCCTTAACACTGAAGTAGGGTGGAAACTTTGCTTTTAATACTGAAATAGATTGGATATTCTCTCTCAAACTTTGAAATACCACATCAACTAAATAAATATCATCATTGATGTAAAAGGATAAAGAAACTAAATTTAATTAAGCCTCGGCCACTTTAATTATAATTTCGCAACCGAAACGGTGTTGTTGGGTAGAAGATAATTCAGCAAATTGTTCAGACTTAGCATTCATGTGGAGCAGAAGTGGATAATGCGTCGTTATTATGTGTTGTATGCAGAAACAATTTCTGAAGTTTACAGAGAAAGCATCAAGCGGATATTGTCGCTGCATTTTGAATGACAAGAGATTCCAATATTTAGACGGATATTTTCATAGTATTTTCATTCATTTTATATGAAAAGTTTGGAGCGTATAAACGTTCCTTCTTTTTTCAATAGATTGGCTAAATATCAATATGCTCAATTAGCTGGAATTTCCTCTTTTCCCAATGAGCAAATGCGAGCTTTGTGGTCGAAGTCCCAATAATTTTATATAATGCACACTGTGCCCGCCGCTGCAGACGTGCAGGCAACATTCATCAGTCCGAAGCTTGCAGCGTCAGAACTGTGGTAAGCGCACGGCTTGGAGGATTGGGAACCAGCCAAGTTGCCACCCGCCTGCCAGAGAGGGGGGACATTGGCAGGGGGAGTGCATGAGCTACTCGGAAAGTCCCAAGTCCAAGTACTTGTATGTTTCAGACCAATCCAAATCGCTGAAAAGATAAAACAAAATAAATATGATAAGATAAAATCTAAGATGAAGATATGAGAATGTGAACATAAAGATGCAGGTCCTAGTAAAAAGTTTAGTTTTGAATAACACTCACTATAATGTTTTTGTTATGTAATCGCAACATCAGAAAGAAAGGTTGATACTGAAAGAAACAGTTCAGTATAAACCACAAACGTTATTATCTGCGGTTGAGTGAGATAATTACCCGATAAAATTTGAAACCACTGTTTCCGCTATCAAATCGTTCCCCTTGCCGATATCATTGCCTTTAAACTCATTAAATGTGAATAGAAGAACATTTAAAACGTTCGCGTAACTAAGAACCCTGTCTAGATCCCGTTACAAAATTTGAAAAACAGCAATTCATAAGTTTTGCTAATATTTTCATCAAACTTTTAGTGATAGCAAACATTTAGCAATAGCAAACATTTAGTTATAGCAAACATTGAGTAATAGCAAACATTTAGTAATAGTAAACTTTCAGTAATAGCAAATATTTAATAATAGCAAACATGTAGTAATAGCAAACACTTAGTAATAGCAAACATTTAGTAATAGCAAACATTTAGTAATAGCAAACATTTAGTAATAACAAACATTTAGTAATAGCAAACATTTAGTAATAGCAAACATTTAGTAATAGCAAATATAGTAATAGCAAACATTTAGTAATAGCAAACATTTAATTTTAGCAAACATTTTCTTATAGCAAACAGTTATAGCAAACTCTTAGTTACGGCAAACATTGAAATTGTAGAAGTTTAATTTCATGATTTATTAGCTGTTTGTTTAATGCTTCGTGCGTGTAAAGCTAGAAAAAAGATGTTGTTGAACAGCCACATGTATATTTACAACGATGGCATACAGACAAAACTCATTCACCGAAATATATAATAAATAATATTACTGGCCAATAAATAATATTACTAATATAAATATTATATATTCATGCGGCAATGCCCGGGATAGATAATGCATGAGATTATAGAATCCACTTATTATTATTTACTTATTTTATTTCCAAACTTATTAAACTTAATGATATTATTCATAAACTTACTAATATTATTATCGAACTTATTAATATTTTTCTCAAACCTAATAATATTATTCTCAAACATAGTAATATTATTCTTGAACTTGTCAATATTTTTCTCAAACTTAGTAATATTGTTCTCAAACTTATTAATCTTATTTTTAAACGTATCAATATAATTCTAGTACTTATTAAAATTATTTTCAAACTTATTGATATTATTCGTAAACTTATTATTATTATTATTATCAGACTTATTGATATTATTCACAAACTTATTAATATTATTTGCAAACGTATCGATATTATTCTCTAACTTAATAATATTATTCATAAACTTATTGATATAATTCTTAAACTTGTCTATATTATTCTTAACCTTACTTATATTATTGTTAAATTTTTCTTTTTTTCCCCGAAACTTGTCAGCCAGATCCCAGTTAGCGTGAACTTCATCAGAAGTAAAGCATATTAATTAGCATATTAATAGGCCTGTTCAAGCCCATAATCAACGTTGAACTCCAATTTATCTCCAATTACGAAATAAGTATGAACTTAAAGTAAATTTGTTCTATCATATTCCGATTTACTCATTACTGAAATCATCGTGCATCTACTGTGGCTCTAATCAATAAAGCTTGCTAAACCAATATAAATACATTTATAATCTGAGTAGATAAACTTGAACTCAACATTCAACTGTACAGGCGACGTGTAAATGCATAATAACAAGCCCTTTAGCCATATTAGGTTACTAAATCGATTCATAACGATAATCAAATATATTAGAAGGGATTTTAGATCATCTCATTGAAGAAGTCAAAATCAAGAAAAATAAACTCTAAACATTGTGAAATTTTAAAATTTAAGGTCGGCACATTTTTTTATTTTATGAATCCTAATTTATCGCTCTGCATTGTCATAAAAAAACCTTTATCCCTGTAAACCTTGAGAGGCAAGGAAGCCCTGCGAGAGCACCAGGAAGAATTTAGTCCAAAGTGTGATAGTTCACGCCACTCCTAAACCCATGTAAAAACTGAAAATTCTCTAAGTTTTGAAATTGATGCAATGAATCGCTAAAATACTCGCATATTCTACAATTGAAACGCAATTTGACACAAAAAATGGAGTGGAGGGAGTGTGCGGTGATTATATTGTCTTAGTATGCTCGATAGTAAACAAAGCTTGTGAAGCAGTCATAATTATTAATATTGGATCACAAACTCACAATTAGACGCCGGAATGTTGCGGTAGAGCAAGTACATTTCCCGAGAGTTGATCAGTCTCAAGCAGTTG